TCGTCCTCGTCCTCGTCCTCCTCCTCCTCCTCCTCCTCCTCCTCCTCCTCCTCCTCCTCCTTCTCCTCCTCCTCCTCCTCCGCCTCCTCCTCCTCCTCCTCCTCCGCCTCCTCCTCCGCCTCCTCCTCCTCCTCCTCCTCCTCCTCCTCCTCCTCCCCATGCCCGCCGCAAGACCCAGACGTGTCGGCAGAGCGGGCTGGGCGTTTCGCTTGAGACTTCTCGCCGCTGGTTGCCCTAAATCCTGAACTTCCCAACAGTTGCACGGATGGAGGGCGGGTCGAATGTGGCCGTCGGCTTAGCACAGCGTGCATCCCTCGAAAACTGCTAGCGCTTAACACGCTGTGGCGCTGCACACATTGTGCTTAAACATGTCCAGCGGCCAAACGGATGGAGGGCGATTGCTTCTCGCAGTGTCGCACTCGCCTTCGCGCCGCGCACATTCGTGTCGACAAATAGTAACTCATACAAAGATGGAGCCCGAACATGTCTCAAACTGTAGATACCGCTCCCGCTTCAGAGCACGCACACCTTAGTCATAGCTGTTTCTAACAAGTGAAAGTATTGAGGACAGCTACTGTTCAACATGTGGCCCTCTTTTAAAACTGGCTCCAACTCTTTCTCCAGAACTGAGGCCTATGTCCTACATGGGGCCATCACTGAGACGTCCAACACGTATGGCATTAAGCATACATTGGCGCAACGGCCGCACCAGTGTAGGGCGGTTCCGTTTCAAACCAAGGTTATCGCTCAGCTTTTCGGCGGCGAGCCCGGGGGGGCGAGTGAGAGGGGGCGAGCCTTCTCAAAGGCGGTGGGGCTTCTCAGAAGCCCTCGCGCCCTCTGAAACAAATTCTCAGCCCTATCCGAAGGCAGAGACGGTTTGTCAAAGGCCGGAGGAGGGGGAGATACGTCTTCAGTCCCTGCAGCGCGCCCCTGGAGCCCAACATAGCCACGTGCGCGCGCTTGCCAATCGGCAGGGGGTTCGGCGGCGAGCGAGATCGGCCTTGGCATTGAGGCATGAATGGCCCGCGATGGGCTTCCAAGAAGCCCCACCGCCTGCTGAGAAGGCCTGCCCCCTCTCACTTCCCCCCTGGCCAGACATGCGACGTTCTGATTTTTGTCGACGCCTGGTCCGCAAAAGTCCCGACCCTTTCCCTGGGGCCCGTTTCTGGTCCTGAATCATTGTTTGACGGTCCTGGGGCCAAACGAGGGCCCCCGGAGGCCGAAAACTGTTCAGAGCCTCCCGTCCTGATTTTTGCCACGACGCGAGCATGTCTGTGGGGCTCGCCGCCAGCTCTCCGTGAATTTCCCGAGCCCGAGGGAGGGGAGGGTGCAAATCATGGCCCGAAGCATGTGCGCGGCCCAGGGGGCTGCCGGGGACGCATTGAAATAAGGAGAGGAGCCAAGAAATCTGGGGAGATGTCATGGCCCCAGCCATGAGATCCACCCCCCCTAGTCTTAAGTCGGGCCTGTCCCCCTACAGGGGGATCTTGGACGGAAAAACACACAAAAATGGTCCCAAAATCCTCCCCTGACTATCATTTTTGACTCTTTTGGGGTATTCCTCCTGCAGAGGGACAGGCCCGACTTAACCCTAGTCATCATCCCCCTCTTGGTCGCCCCCGATTGCCACGGCGAAAACTCGTCTGAGGGGCTCGCCGCCAACTCTCCGCGAACTGCCCGGGCCCACCAGGCCCCGGCCGGCGCAGGCGCAGCGCCCCACGGCTCAGGGCGCAGGGCCCCCCCGCCGGGAGGGGCCGGCCCGTCCGGGCGCCCGTCTCGGGAGAGCGCCGGGGAGCGCGCCGGGACATCCGCCGCCGTGCCTGGTTTTATGTTGCGCCCATCGCACTTGAGGGCCACATCCCCGAAATAATGCCGAGCGCCCGGGAAGGTGTCGAGAGAGTGTCGAAAGAGTGTCGAAGCGGTGTCGATCGAGCGTCTCCCAGGGTCCGACAAGTGAAAGCCCTCGAGTTTCGGTACTTCTTGGGAGCTCGAAATTCTTTTGGGCTGCCAAGGCTCAAGCAGGTTGGAACATCATAAGCCTGGTTAAGGGAACGAACAATGGACGCCGCGGGCGACCCAGAATCGTTCGATGTGGAACGATTTGGACGTTTCGGAAACGGCCGATCGTTCGAGGTTGAACGATCCCCGCGGTGTCAGAAACCAAGGCTGAAGTCGGCACGGCACGAACCTGACGTGCCCCATCAAGCGTGCACCAGTAGGGGAACGAAGAATGACATCAATATAATTCGGAGGTCCGCGCGGATTTCTCGGATCGGCGCTGGAGCCCCCGGAGCGCGCCAGGGGCGGCGCCAGAGGCGCTGCCGGGGGGCCCCAGCGCGGCTCCGAGAAATCCGCGTGGACCTCCGAGTTAGTTTGCTTATGTCATTATTCGTTCCCCTACTGGTGCACGCTAAGGGGCTACGTCAGGTTCGTGCCGTGCCGACTTCAGCCTTGGTTTCTGACACCGCGGGGATCGTTCAACCTTGAACGGTCGGCCGTTTCCGAAACGTCAAAATTGTTTCACATCGTACGATTCTGAGTCGCCCGCGGCGTCCAAAGCTGAACGCCGCTGGCGGGGTCGCCGCCGGTCGACACGACACGAACCTACCGTAGTACAGTCGGCCCGTATCATAAGGATGCGCGACAAGGGTGCAAGGGCCTTGGAAGGCCAGTTCGAAGCTTTTCGAGCGGGGTGCGGCCAACGAAAGTGGCCAAGGATGGACCGAGGAGGCAAGGATGCAAGGGTACCCTTGGGAAGGTTACCCACCCTTACTATGCGGGTTCACTGCACAGTCCTCGTGTCACAGTCAACCCGTAGAAGAAGAACGCACGACAAGGATGCAAGGGTCTTGGGAGGCCATGCCGACACTCTGCGGGCGGGGCGCGGCCCGCGAAAGCGGCCACGGGTGGGCCGAAGGGGAAGGATGCAAGGGTGCAATCGGACCTGGGCCAGAAGAACACTCTTCAAGAACATGAGGCCCTCCGTTGGCCAAAACAACCAGAACATCCAAGGGTACACTCCCCAGGATACACAAGAACATCCACCAAACACGAAGAACTCTGCCCCGAACCGACCTCGAGCTTATACCCAGGTCCGACTGTAAGAAAACGCTGGATGCGGAATCCAGGGTCTGAAAGTGGGTGGAACGCTAATCGAGGCAAGGCAACGGAAATCACTGCTACCCTCATCAGATAAGAAACCTCCAGGGTCTGAAGCCTCATGGGCACATTCCTGAATGAACACCACCACCGTAGAATACTATTGTGCTGACTGGTAAGTTTCTGGAATGCTCTCTAGGGCCGACCCTGTCCACTGGTCGCGCGCATCGTCCGAAAATCGCTCTTCCTCTCCGGAGCCGACGTCGTGCCATGCTCAACAAAAAAAACGGCTTGGACCAGCCTCTGTCCCAGAGAGGTTCTAACCGAGGGGGTCAAAACAGCCAAAAACGTCCAAACACAATACAGTCGGGGCGTTGACCTAAGGAACGATAAATAAGGAACGGGGCCCCTGTTTCCCACAAGTTAAACTCCGATTCCCCATCGAAAACCAAAGGAAAACCCAAGGCAAACTGTGAAGCAATCAAGGAACACGGAGCCCCTCCCCAACGAAAAGGGTTCCTTCTTCAGGGCCCCGACTGTACAAAGATCACGACATAGCGCTCCAAGACCAGCAAAGCAGCCCCAGAGCGCCCTGGGACGGCCAAGCTCCTTCCAAGACGGCCAGAAGAGCTGGAGGGCTGCACGGTGGCCCCAAGACTGCCCAAGAAGGCCTCCAGACGCTCCAAGAGGGCAACAAGATTGCCTCAAGGCAGCCCAAGACGCTCCCAAGACGGCTCACGAGGGCTCCGAGAGAACGCCCAAGATGCCCTCGAGAGCAAGTCCCCAGAGGGCTCCAAGACACTCCGACGAGGTCCCAAGAATGCCCCAGGACGGCCCAGGGCCTCCAAGACGGCCCAAGAGGCCCTCAAGACAGTCCAAAGGAGCCCCAAAACATCCCAGAACGCCCCCCAATACAACCCAAGAGGCCCAGTGCCAGGAGAAGGCCCCAAGAGGGAAGGATCCAAGCCGGCCTTGACAGCCTCTTCCTACAGGCTTGCCTCCAACAGACCCAACATGCGCACGATGCTCCCAAGAGGCCCAAAATACCCCAAAAAGGCCACCTAGAGGTCCCCCATACAAACAGTCAAGGGCCTCCCAAACGCACCTAGAAGACTTCCGACGGCCGTCGCCGTCGCCGTCGCCGTCGCCGTCGCCGCCGCCGCCGCCGCCGCCGTCGTCGTCGTCGTCGTCGTCGTCGTCGTCGTCGTCGTCGTCGTCGTCGTCGTCGTCGTCGTTGTCGTCATAGTCATCGTCGTCGTCACAGATGCGTCTTGCACTCAACCTCCTTCACGCTGGACTGCTGCGCTGGCACGGTGGCGGCCGCAGGCGGCTGGATGGAGAGGAGCGGATGGGGAGCAGGAGCGCGAGGAGTGGGAGCGCGAGGGGCAGGATCGGGAGGAGCAGGAGGCCTGTGCTGGGACGCAGGGGGACATACCAGTACTGTGCGTCCTCCTCGGAGGCACGCGCCCGACTCGAACATGCAGTACACCCCGTCTTGTAGAAAGAAGGATTGCAAAAAAAAAAACAATCGATCGATTGCAAAAAAACCCGATCGTGTCCAGGTTTTTGTTGCAATCCGTCGTGCAAGGTTTTTTTGCAATCCAATCGATCGTGTCCCGCACGGCACGGCCGGGAAGCGCCCGCCCACGGAGCCTGCACGCTAAGACTCCTCGGCCCGCGCGTCGCCCCGTCGGGGGCGACGGACACACAGTGCTGGAAAGCGAAGGATTGCAAAAAAACGAAGGATTCCAAAAAAAAACCTTAAACGAAGGATTGCAAAAAAACGCAGGGTTTTTTTGCAATCCTTCGTTAAAGCGAAGGGTTGTTTCGCAATCCTTCGTACACACAGTGCTGGAAAGCTTGGGTGGCGCCGAGGTGTTCCAGAACAGCGGTCCCCCCTGTCAGCACTCGGAGTAGCCGACGGTCGTCGGCGACCCATAGGACGCGTCGGGGCGCCGCTCCGCCTTGCCCGCGGCACCATCCAGCAGGGCGAACGTGGGCACCACCGGTGCGCACGCCATCAGCGTCAGCGTCAGCGCCACCACGCCCTGCGAGCGGTACGGGAAGCCGCCGCCGAGGTCGCTCAGCCACGCCACGCCGGCCCCCAGGGACTGCGTGCCTTTGTACGCTGCCGAGTACTGGACCATTCTTCGGACGTCGCCACCGGATGCCATGGACATCAGCCAGTAGGCGTAGTTCTGGTACATGGCATCCGCGGCCCCCAGCAGCGCAAACACCAGCATGGGCGCGGCGCTGGCCTGGGCGTCGGAGAGGAAGTCCAGCGAGCATGGGGCATCTTTATCGAAACCGTAGCCGACACCGCAACTGCTGGCGTAGTTCAGCCAGATGGCCGGCACCAGTGATACCACAAGCGCGGCGGCGACGAGCGTCATGCCCCAAACGGCCCTCTTGGCTGGCGTCTGCGGGCCGTCCAGCACCGTGCCAAAGGCCCACGCGGCCAGCATTTGCGCCGCCCAGAACACCGCCGAGTTGAGCCCCCGCGTGCGCACGTTGAACTGCGTGCCATTGAAGCCGTTGAAGTCGTAGGTGTAGAACCAGTTGGAGGCGAACCAGAACAGCAAGTTGCGCCTCACGAATGGATCACTGAAGGCCTCCACGGCCGCGATCAGCTCCTCCTTTGGCGACCGGGCCTGCTCGAAAGCCACCGAACTCCCATCCTCACGGACCACCTGAGAGGGACGCGCCAGCAGGAACGGCGACAGAAGCGCCCCCGCCAGCATGGCGGCGATGAACGAGAAGTACGAGGCGGCGCTGGCGCTCCCGGCCTCGTTGCTGTAGTTCAGCCCGAATTCGAGCAGCCCCCCCGCAACGCCGCCCAGGTTGAAGATGATCCAGAAGAGTCCGATGAGGCGCCCGCGCGACTGCGGCGTGGCGTAGGCCATCATCAGGGCCCCCTGCGCCGTCCAGAACAGCCCCGCGCCCACGCCGAGCAGCACGCCGCCGACAGCGGCGAGGAACCCGTGCTGCGCGGAGAAGTACACGCACGCGGCGTAGGCGGCGTACGTGAGGCCGCCGACGACGAACAGCGGCACGGGGCCCAGCAGGTTGAAGGCCGCGCCCGCAAAATAGCTGCTCGCCGCGAAGGTGCAGTAGAGGCAGCCGTTCGCGATGGCCGCGACCGTCGGGTCGCTGGACCCAGCACCGCCGAGGCCCGTGAGAGCGTTGAAAAGGCCTGGGCTCAGTGGCCACACAAGCGGCAGGGCCGTTTTCCTGCCAAATCCCACCAGCCCTCTGGGCGTAGGTGGTCTAGAGTCTAGAGAGTCTCCTCTTCCAACCCCCTCCTTCCCCTTCGGGGAGGGTTTCACCCCTCCCCCCCACCCCCTCAACTGGACCTGTACAGGGGGCGGTCGCGAGCGGTCAGAGCGTCCAAGATGGCCCAAGACGGCTCCAAGAGGGCCTCTGAGAGCCCAAGATGACCTCCAAGATGGCTCGAGATAGCCCGAGATGCCTCAAGATGGCTTCCAAGATGCTCCAAGAGGATCCAAGGAGGGTCCAAGACGGCTCCAAGAGGCCTCCGAGACATCCAAGGAGGCCTCCAAGAGGCCAAAATCCTTCAAAAACCTAAGGAAAAGCATTGAGTTGTGCCTTCTCGCCTTTTCGCTTCCGATGGCCATCCGAGGCCTCAAGATGGCTCCAAGATGGCCCAAGATGGCCCAAGATGGCCCAAGAGGGGCCCAAGAGCGCCCAACGCACCAAGAGGCGACTTTGGGGGCTGCCGAAGGGCAGCGCAAATTAGGGAACCCCTTCTCTGATTGATGTCCTCCAAGATGGCCCCAAGAGCGTGTCCAAGGCTCCCAAGAGCGCCCCAAGAGGGCCCCAAGAGGCGCCCAGACGGCCCCAAGAGGCGCCCAATAAGCCTCCAAGAGGCTTTCAAGAGGCCCCCCCGAGGCACCGAAGACGCCCAAGAGCCCCCCAGGACCGAGAGACCCCCGAGACGTCCCAAGAGGCCTTCAAGAAGCGCCCAAGAGATATCCCAAGAGGCTCCGAGAGGCATCCAGGAGACCTCTGGCCCTTTTGCTTGCCCTCCTCCTCCTCCTCCTTCTCCTCCTCCTCCTCCTGCTCCTCCTTCCTCCTCCTACTCCTTCTCCTCCTCCTCCTCCTCCTCCTCCTCCTCCTCCTCCTCCTCCTCCTCATCATCCTATTAATCTTCCTTCTCCCCACTCCCTCATCCACCCATCCAGCCTCATCCTCTTCTCCCACTCCCTGCTTCGCACGGTTCGGCCGTCCCCCTCTTCGCTCCTACACTTCCCTGATCACCTCAGCTCGCCTGGACATCGTTTCGAAATGGGCTGTGGGGATACGCGATGTGTCTAGAATTTCCAACAGCTGTATCTTTTTGTGGAACGTGAAAACTGAAAAATGATCCCGGAAACAAGCGGGAAAAACTGCTCTGGGAATGGAACCGTAATCGCTGACTGAAAAGCTCATATAAAAACTGCGACGGAACCCTGTAAAAAAAGCAAAGGAGCCGGCAACAAAAACACAGCAAAACGGAGCTGCTAAAAACGGCCCTGTCGTTTCCAGGGCCCACTGATGGCCTGGGCCGCAGAACGCAAGGAAGCCCACGATCACCACCTGGGCGACGACCAGAAACGGGTCGTGCGCGAGATGCTATAGCGACCATACGCGGAGCGCATATGCTGGAGACGAGGGCGCCAGCGCGGAACGCCCTACACTGGAGGCGAGGGCGCCCACGCGCGACCCTACGCGGGCAGCTTGCGCGCCAATGTCGGCGTAGGCAACCCCTTTTTTGCCTACGCCGCTCACCTGGGTGTGGGCGCTGCGCCACCCGCGCGCCTTGCCATCGCCGCTGTCGCCGTCGGCCGCGAGCTCCGCCTCGGGCGCCTCCGGCCGGGGCGTGCGGCCTCCCGTGGACGGAGTGCCCGAGCGCCGGCTGTGCACGCGGGGCACCTCCATGCAGCCAGGTCTTGAAAGAGCACAGGGGCGCCCACCGCTGCACACCGCAGAGAGCCGCCGTGCGCCAAGCGGGACGGTACTGGCCCTGGTCAGAGCCAAGACACATACGGTGAAGGGGAGGGGGAGAAAGGAGAGGAGGAGCAGGAGGAGGAGGAGGAGGAGGAGGAGGAGGAAGGAGGCGGAGGAGGAGGAGGAGGAGAGGGGAAGGAGGAGGAGGAGGCGGAGGAGGAAGAGGAGGAGGAAAGATGAGGAAGGAGGAGGAGGAGAAAGGAGGAGGAGGAGGAAGGGAAGGGGAAGGAGAGGGGAAGGAGGAGGAGGAGGAGGACGAGAATGTTGCCACTCCCTCCGTGACTCTGCCACCTCCTCGAGCGACTTCTTCTCCCGCTCCCTTTCCTCGTCCTGCCGCTCCTGCACGGCTGCCGACACAAAAGCCCATCGGATTGATACCCCGCCCAGCGTCAGCTGGTTGTTGGAGAGGTGGATCTCGCTCGGCATGTCCTGATACACGCAAAAAATCGCGCGCGCGCACACACACACACACCACCACCACCACCACCACCACCACCACCACCACCACCACCACCTTGTCTGAGGAAAAGGATGAGGGCCCTCAAGGGCGAAGCTGGGTGTCCTCCTCCTCCTCCTCCTCCTCCTCCTCCTCCTCCTCCTCCTCCTCCTGCTCTCCTCCTCCTCCTCCTCCTCATCCTCCTCCTCCCTCTTCCTCCTCCTACTCCTCCTCTTCCTCCTCCTCCTCCCTCCCTCCTCCTCCTCCTCCTCCTCCTCATCATCATCATCATCATCATCATCATCATCATCATCATCATCATCATCATCATCATCATCATCCTCATCCTCCTCATCCTCCTCATCCTCCTTCCCCTCACATTATCCACATTCTCCTCCGATGCGACTATCAATCCTTACCCTTTCCCTCGCTGTTCCTCGCGGAACATGTGCGTTGCTGGCGACTTCATGCTGCTCCCCTTGCACTGCTTCATGACCTCACCGCTCCTCAACCTGCACCTTCGTGATCTAGGGCGCTCCATTTTGTCCTGGCGAGAATATCCTGAGGGCCCGCTTCTCCCGTCCTCATTCCCCCCCCCGCACCAGAGGGACAAGCCCGCTCGGAAGAGCCTGCACTTCAGGCACAGCCCGTATGGTTTGGTCAGCGCTTCTGGCACGCGTGCGTGTGCCTGGCTCTGCAGCTCCAGAGGTGCGCGCTCGTGCGTGACTTTCGGCTCTCTGATCTGGTCCACCTCCTCGGACACGGATAGGCGGCGCGCACAAGGGGGTATGGGGGAGGGGGAAGGCTTCTGAGAAGGAGGCTGCTTCTGTAAAGGCACCCGCCCTGCATCTATAAACCAGGCCTGCGCCTTCTAAGAAGCAGGGGTGCTTCTAAGAAGCCCTCCCCCCTCCACAACTAAACATCATGAATACCACGCTCCCTCCTCCCGAATTTGTCCGGAAGATCTCCCGCCCCCTCCGCGTATTGTTTTACACACACGAGTTAAAAGTTGTTGTTCCTTATAATGTTTGCAATCCGACTGTTTCCGGTGTTTCCAAATGGTGCTCCCGTTGCAGCGTGGGCCTCCTTTTCGGATCGGCGATAAGCTTTCGCCTTTCAGAATGGCGCTCTCGCCCCAGCGCGGGCCACTTTTCTGGATCCGAGTCTTGCTTCATTTTGGTCACCCCCTTCAGTTCCCCTCCTCCGCCTTCCCCTGGTCCTGCTGTTCCTCCCACTCCTTCCACTCCATTTCCTGCTGCTGCTGTTCGTCTCGCCCCAGCGAGGGCCACTCTTCTGAATCCGAACAGTTCTGCACCTATACGACCACCCTTCGGGTGAGAAGGAGGTTCGGGGGAGGGGGGAGGAACCAACATCTCACTCGATCGGTCTCACTATCGATCTCACTATCGGTCTCGTTCGATCGATCTCACTCGATCGATCTCACAATCGATCTCACTCGATCTCACTATGGGTCTCGTTCGATCGATCTCACAATCGATCTGACGATCGATCTCACAATCGATCTCACTCGATCTATTTCATTCGATCGATCTCACTATCGATCTCACAATCGATCTAATATTCGGTCTCACTATCGATCTCACTATCGATATCACGATTGATGTCACAACCAACGTCATCATCATCATCATCATCATCATCATCATCATCATCATCATCATCATCATCATCATCATCATCATCATCATCGTCATCAACGTCATCAACATCATCATCATCATCATCACTAGCATCATCATCAACATCGGGGCACCATCATCATCACCTCATCACCATCATCATCAATACCATCATCACCATCATCATCGGAACACCATCATCGTCGCCATCATCATCATCATCAACATCATCATCATCGGGACACCATCATCATCGGAATACCACCGTCATCACCATCTCATCATGATCACCATGAACAACATCATCAAAATCATCATCATCGGGACACCATCATCATCAGCAACAGCATCACCATCATCAACCTCATCATCCTCATCATCATCATCATCATCGGGACACCATCATCATCGTCAGCATCATTATCATCACCATCATCATCATCATCGGGACACCATCATCATCATCATCAGCATCAGCATCACCATCATCGGGCCACCATCATCACAATCTTCATCATCACCTCATCATCACCCTCATCATCAACATCATCATCGGCACACCATCATCGTCATCATCACCATCCTCATCATCCTCATCATCATCATCATCATGATCAACATCATCATCAGCATCATCATTATCATCATCAAAACCATCATCATCATCATCATCATCATCATCATCATCATCATCTGGACACTATCATCATCACCGTTATCAGCAGCATCATCATCAATACCATCATCATCGGGACACCATCATCATCATCGTCTTCGTCATCATCATCACCTCATCATCATCTAATCGTCATCATCATCAGGATCATCAACATCATCATCATCATCATCATCATCATCATCATCATCATCATCATCATCATCATCATCATCATCTGCAACATCATCATCAACATCATCATCATCACGCGACACCATCATCATCACCACCATCACCATCATCATCATCATCATCATAATCATCATCATCATCATCATCATCATCATCATCAACATCGTCAACATCATGATCATCATTATCGGGACACCATCCTCATCATCACAATCACCATCATCACCATCAACATCATCAACATCATCATCATCAGCAGCATCATCATCATCAGCATCAGCATCAGCATCAGCATCATCATCAGCATCATCATCAGCATCATCACCCTCATCATCAACATCATCATCATCGTCATCATCATCATCATCATCATCATCATCATCATCATCTGGGCACCGACGGGACAGTGGCGGGACACCGGCGAGTCACCGCGGACCACCGGCCCCCGGAGAGGAACATTTGGTCCAGCCGCGCCTCAGCCTGAGGCGGGACACCGGCGGGACACCGCGGGCCACCGGCCCCCGGAAAGCAAACAGTTGTTCCGGCCGCGCCTCAGCCGGAGGAGACTTTCTTCTCGCCCGCCCACGCAGCTTCGCCTCGCCCGCACGCACGGCACGCACGAACACGAATCCGAAACCGATTTCCCGGTAGGGGGGCTCTCCGTTCCACTTCGATCTCATCAGCGCCATGGGAAGGGATGGGAGGAAGGGATAGGATTAGGTCGGGCCTGTACCCCTACAGGCGGATCTTGATTGAAGATATCCAAAACAATACTCCAAAAATAATCAAACATAGTCCAACCAAAATCGTCCCTGGAATATTTTCTGACGATTTTTGAATACTCCTCCTGTAGAGGGACAGGCCCGATTTAAGGATAGGATGTCAGACGAGGCGCGACCGCACCTGGCTTGTCCTGCCCTCCTCTGCGCGTGGCGGAACGTATCCACGCCTCGCAGACCCCGTGGCATCTTCTTGCCAGCGTTAGGTCGGGCCTGTCCTCCTACGGGGGGATTTTGGACGAAAAATAAAAATATACAAGCAGTACCCTAAATATGCAAAATTGCAAGAAAATCGTCCCCATACTTTTTTTTGTGCCTATTTTTTGATATTCCTCCTGTAGAGGGACAGGCCCGACTTACTGCCAGCGGCCTGGAAGCTCGTCTGCGGGTCGCCGCTTCGCGCGCGCGACCAGAGCCAGCCACCGGGAGGGGTGACGGCGCCGCCACGCTCCAACTGCGAGGCGGGGATTCCTCCATCGACACCGCCTGGGAGGTCGACCTTCGGGGACCTCGGCAGGCGGCGGGTGTGGGCACGTCTGATTCCCCCCAGGGCCTCATGTATGTCCACATCGGCGGCGAGCCCGAGGGGGAAGCGAGCAGGAAAAGGCCTTCTCATGAGGCTCGGAAGTCCCGCGGCCTTCCGAGAAGCGTCCTGAGCCTTCCGCGGAGACACGGAACACCTCCCCTCGGCAGGCGCGAGGGCCTCTGCGAAGCCCCGCTGCCTTCTGAGAGGGCCTTCTCCTTTTTACCCCCCCACCACGCTCGCTCGCCGCCGACCACACTCGGGGGCGCGCAAACACGGATTAGCGATCCATGGATTTGGCGCGCGGTCGCCAAATCCATGGATCGGGGGCGGTGCCCTCCCCAGAAGTGCGGCCGGTGCCGCCTCTTTCGGCGGCGGAGAGCCGCGACTCCCCATGGAGACGGGACCCGTCGCTAAGCCAAGCCCCCGTGATCCAATGCTTGCGATCGCCCGACACAGCCGCCGCCTGCCGAGGTCCCCGAAGGTCGGTCCCCCCAGGCGGCGGCGGTGGACTTGCGGATGCCACGGCAATGGACACCCTGACAGTCCTATCATCGAATTAAACATGTGTTTAAAATGTCGGAACATGTCCTGAAAATGTCTAAAGCATGCTTTCGACATGTCTTAAAACAGCTTTCACACATGTTCTAGACATCTGGAAATCATTTGGCACCGTGCTCCCTCTCCAGTGATCGCCCCCCGCAACGATGGGCACGTCCCCACCGCGAACCCGCGCGGCCGAGGGGGGGGAGCGGCCAGAGGCCGCGGCAGAGGCGGGCAGGCGCCGGGGGGGGGGGGCGTGCAGCACGCCACGCGCCCCGCGGCCGCCCGGGCACGCCCCGTACGCAGCACGCGGCGCGCGGGCGCGGAGCTCGGCGCGCAGATTGCGACTACCTACCAGACCACCCCAACCCGACCCAAAGACCCGAATTTCGGGGTGTGGGGGGGGGGTACGGGTTCCACATGTGTCGGGGGTTGCTGAAGGTGCCCCTGGCTCAAGGTGCCCCCAGCTTTTCGCTCAATTTTGGAGCTCCTGGGGCCCTCTGGACCTCGTGAGGGACGCTCTGGAGGCCGTAGTGGCCTCCTCGAAAATCCTGGGAGCACCTTGGGCCAGGGGCACCTCTAGCAGCACCCGAATGTGCTTTTGTCAATGCTCCCCAACCCCCCCCCCCCCACCACTGGGAATGGAGGGCACATCGGGGCCTTCGGGTCGGGCTGGGGCGAGCTGGTGGGAAGGCGAGACTGCGGACGTGCGCGGGGCGAGAGGCACGGGCAGGAGGCCGGCAGAGCCCCCCTCCAGAGCGCGAGGCCCTCCGCCGGCCGAGGGGGCGGAGCGTCCCCGGGGGCGCCCACTCCCCGGAAAGGCACGAGGGCATCCAGCACGCACGGAGGAGCGTGACGGGGAGCCCTCCCCGAGCCGACCTCGGCCTCGTGCCTCGGCCCGACGGCACGTGTGGCGAGGTGCGCTCGCCAGAGCGTGGGCCAACACGCGGCGTCTTGACACGGACGCTTTGAGCACAGAACGCGTTGGCAGGAGACCCCAAAATCGAATCGATAGGTTGGATCGGCGATCGAAATGGATCGGATCGGCGGAAATCGGCAGACGAGTCGGGAAAAGTCGAACCGGCGGAAATCAGGAGGCTAGTATGCCCCCCATGAGAAATCGGACCTCAGATCGGAACCCCAAGTCGAATCGAATCGGCATCGGGAGCCATCGAGATCGAATCGAATCGAATCGGAGGACTCGGAGCGAGCCCTGTGCTGCGTCCCAAAACGGGTGCATCGAGGCTGCCAAGCCGCACGTGCGCCCAGGGGCGCCGCTCGACCACGTGCTCGGCAAGGCTCCCGGAGAGACGCGTGCGACGCCGCCCCCGCGGGCCCCGAGACCACCTCGCGCTGTGAGAAAAGCACGGCGGGAGGTTGTTCGCATCTTATCGGTCTCCGGGGGCGCTCACTTTGGCCTCGGGGCCGTCGAGCAACGACTCGGGCCGAGAAGCCAGCCCCAGGGAAGGGGTCGAGACCTCTGGGGGTCGGAAGAAGTGGAGTGGCCGGATGTCTAGGCGTGGATCCCCCGCGAACTCGCAGGCGACGCGCAGGCCAGGAACATTGCTGTGGTGAGCACCCGTACGCTGGCGTCAAGTTTTGCGCAAATAAGCCGATGCCGCCATGCACGCGCAGCTGCGAACACTGCAACGTAGCCGAATGGCCTGGGAAGCCGCGTACGCAGAGTTGCGTCGCGAAGCTCGGCCCCTAAAAGCATGTATCTGTCCCGGCCGCGTGCCCGATAACCTGCCTCCCAAGATGATACAGGCCCCCGTGAAACAGAAGACGGGGAGGAGAGGCGGAGGGGGAGGAAGGAGGACAGAGGCGAGGCAAGAGGGACTGACAATGGCACTGTGTGTGCATCCCCACATGGCCGAAACGACCATCAATATAATCCCCCCAGTCCTCTAGGCGACAAGCGGTCTAACGAAGTTTTTCTTCCCTCTTCCAAAAACCCTCTTCTTCCCCTTCGGGGAGGAGTTTATCACTTTTCCCTATGAATAAACGCCCCCTCCCCCAGGCGACTGGTAGCCAACCCGAGACCATGCGGGCCCCCACCCACCATCCCTGTTTTTGGTACAAAAACATTGCTTTTTTTACAAAAACACCCAAAAAAACCACTCTGTCTCCAAATCCGGAGCATGCGCACCCACCAACTCGATGCGGCCTTCCCCCACCATCCCTATCAAAAAACAATAAAGAGTACGGCAGGTCCGTGTCGTGTCAACCCTGGCGTTGGTTCCTGACACAGCGCGGATCGTTCAACCTTGAACGATCCGCCGTTTCCGGAACGTCCGATCGTTCAACATCGACCGATTCTGGGTCGCTGGCGGCGTTCAACGTTGAACGCTGGCAGCGGGGTCGCCGCAAGTCGACACGACGCGAACCTACCGTACACTGGGTGGCGGCAGCGTGCCTGGACGACCAGGCCTGGCAACAGAAGAAGGAGCCAGGAGAGCCTGGCCTCCGAGGGCGGCGGCCCGCCGCCGCCAGAGGGAGGAGGGGGGGCGGTGGAAGCAGGGCAGGACGAGGGGGCAAAGCGGGAGGAGCGTGGCGGAAAAAGGCGAGGGCGGGCGGGGTACTCCCTGAATGCGCCGGCGGCGGGGGCGGGCGTGGGAGGCGGGGGAGGAGCGGGGAGGGAGGGAAGGCGAGAGGGGAAGAGGCGAGGGGGAGAAAGAGGGGAGGTGAGAGGAAGAGAAAAGAGGGGAAAGGGGAGGTGAGGGGGAGAGAAAAAAGGGGAGGCGAGAGGGGAGAAAAAGGGGAGGTGCGGGGGGAAGAAGCGAGGGGAAGGAGCGAGAGGGGGGAGAAAAAGCAGCGAGAGAGGGGGGGAGGAAAGGGAGGGCCCGGCGTAAACGAATGCAGAATCTCAAAACCTGCGGCCTGGTTGCTTCTGCTCTGCAGGGGCGGGCCAGGGGGAGAGGCCCCGCGCCCGCCTCCGAAGTGCTCGCGGGCAGCGGCCACGGTGCCGCGCGCGGCCGCGGGACGCCTCCAGCCCGGCCGGCCCCTCACGGGATGGCCGTGCAGTACAGTCGGGGTATTGACCTAAGGAACCCCAAAATAAGGAACGAGGCCCCTTTTTCCCATAAAGTTAAACTTCGATTTCCGATCGAAAACATAAGGGGCACCTGAGGCAAGCTGTGAAACACTTACGGAACGCGGAGCCCCTCCCCAACGAAAAGGGTTCCTTCTTCAGGGCCCCGACTGTAGGGGCGAGGTTGTTGTTGGAAGTGATTGGCCCTCCCTGGGCCTCAGGAGGCCTCTGGCGGCGTCCGGGGACCTCGGCGAGGCAGGAGCAGCTTCTTGGGAGTGGTCGGCCCCCCCTGAGTCTCTGGAGGCCTCTGGCGGCCTCCGGGGACCTCGGCGAGGCAGGAGCAGCTTCTTGGGAGTGGTCGGCCCCCCCTGGGGACCTCCACACGGCGGGAGGATGAGCAGGAAGGGTGTTGGGGGGGCGGGGGGGGCGAAGGGACGGGCAGGGCGGCGGGGGGCACAGGTCGAGGAGAATCGGACGCACACGCGTTTTGCGACCATACCAGCAGCAGCAGCAGCAGCAGCCAGCGACATTTGATAATCCCAGAGGCGGTCCCAAGGCGGAAGCGCCAATATCCAGTCTGCAACCATCTGGGCGGCAGTATCATCTGCGGGGGCGAAAAGATCAGCTGGGCGGCCGTCTCGCTCTCTCTCTCTCTCTCTCTCATTCGTTGTTGTTGTTGTTTCTCTCTCTCTCTCTCGTCCTCTCTCGTCCTCTCTCTCTCTCTCTCTTTCTCTCTCTCTCTCTCTCTCTCTCTCTCTCTCTCCTTGTTGTTCTCTCTCTCTCTCTAGTGTTCTCTCTCTCTCTCTCTCTGTCTCTCGCTCTCTCTCTCTCTCTCTCTCTCTCTCTCTCTCTCTCTTTCTGGGGTACGCAACTCTCTCGCTTTCATGCATTTGCTTGCGTGCAGAAGCAAACGCACGCATATGTGTACCATGTCTCGCTATGGAAAACGGTAGACCTATAAAAAAAAACATGTTAAGCCAGCGTGGACCCCAAACCGTGTGCGTACAGCAATAAATGTGGTGCAATATACGTGGTGCAATGTCTCAATGTTGTGCAATGCATGTGGTGCAATCTATGCGGTCCCATCTATGCTGTGCAAGTTACGTGGTGCAATCTATGTGGTGCAATATGCCTGGTGCAACCCATGTGGTGCAATCTACGCGGCGCAATATATGTTGCAATTTAGGGCGGCGGCGAGGCGGCGACGGGGCGGCGACGGCGGCCACATAGCTGTCAGACCGACAGACAGGCCCAGACGACGGGTGGCGACGAGGCGGCGACGGGGCGGCGACGGCGGCTACATAGCGGCCAGGCCGAAGACACGGCCCGGTTCCGTAGAACAGAACCCCTAAGAGCAAACACCGTTTGGCATATATCCAGATGTGTGTACACACCTATAGAGAACTCTAGGTATCCTTCTCCCCCATCTCTTTAGCTTTTGTCTCCCTCTCCCTCTCTATTCCTCTCTCCCTCTCCCTCTCTCTCTCTCTCTCTTTCTCTCGTACCCCCATTTTTCTGGTTGTATTTTGCTTTCTCTCTCTCTCTCTCTCTCCCTTTTTCCCTCCCTCCCTCTCGCATTATATATATATATATATATATATATATATATATATATATATATATATATATATGTTCCTCCGAGGAGCTCTTTTTCCACGGTGGCCAGACCAAAGGCTTGATCTGTGTGCTTACTGGTGCCCAGAGCTCTAGGCGAGAGGATGCAATCAGGCGCCAGTCCTCGAGACCGACGGCAGTCAGCACAACACCTCGCGTAGATTTTGCTCCGCGGGTGGGCTCGGGGGGGAGCTTGAGCACAATCGGTAGCGGGCGTGCTGCGACGCGCGGCCCCCTGTCCTCAAGGCACTCTCAGAAAAGATTCACATGCACGCATTGCCATCTGTTCCTCCGAGGAGCTCTTTTTCCACGGTGGCCAGACCAAAGGCTTGATCTGTGTGCTTACTGGTGCCCAGAGCTCTAGGCGAGAGGATGCAATCAGGCGCCAGTCCTCGAGACCGACGGCAGTCAGCACAACACCACAAAATCGGAGAACTCCGAAACCATATGTCTGGAGCCTCGACTTAAAGGCGAGGGGCCACTTTAGAAAGCATCCCCTGAAACACATGGTTCCGATGTGCATTGAGAAACGCACGAGCAATATGTACACACAGGACACTTGGGTAGGGTTCGGCGACAGCCGTGAGAAACCGACCGGCGTTATCTTTACCGGCGAGTTCAATGTGGGCCTTACCTGAGAACGAGCATATTCCTCTACCACAGCACTTGAAAGGACGCAGACTCGACAGGTCAGCATTAGCATAAAGGATTGCAGTGCGCTTTCGCCACGGAGTGCCGAAAGCGCAGAAGTCCACGGTTAAGCGCTGGACCCCGGACCGCTTTGAGACTCTTTCAGCCACCGGTTGCTTCCAGAGCCAGGAGGACCCAGGGTTTTCCAGGCCAACAGGGATCCCGAGGGACAGCGCTAACTCAAAAAGACTAAAACTGAACGCACAGAGCCTATTGCCTTGCAAAACTTTCAGAGCATCACCAGGCGTCAATCCAGGGAGGCCCTGAGGGTGCGAGCTGCTTCTGAGCGGGGGGGGGCCATCTGGTCGGTTGCGCGCAAGCGACATCGACTGACAAGGCGTGCCCAACCACACAGCTGCAACAAGGCCTGACCGAAGCCATCCGCGAACACGTTGCTGAACTCTGCGCTGCAGAAGGTCTGACGCTGGGTCGTGCTTGAGGTCCAGCTCAAAGGCGGCCAGGCCGCCGTGGGAGACTCGCCGCCACGCCAGAGAGAGGCGCCCTGACCCGCTGAACACTTCTAGGAACACGGGTTGGCCGCCGGCCTCTACAGCTCGAGCCAGATGTTGGATAGGCGCCCGCCAATGGTGCCGACCAGGCGCGTGGCGCGGCGCTGCTCGGAGATTGGAAGCCGTTGCATCAGCCCTGCCACGCGACCCCCTTTGGTGTAGCGCCGTGGGGACAAGTCCGACACCCACCTCCCTCTCTTGTTGGTCTCGTCGAAGCTTCTGAACTTTGCGAGGTACTCGCGGGAGGCCCCTCCGTGTCGGAGGGTGTAGGGCGATGGCGGTCCCAGGACGCCGAGGTGCAGCGCGGCCGCAGCACGCCTGCAGACCAGGGCCCTCTGGTTGTAGCTCAGGTCGAAGACGCGGCTGCCTGGCGCGGCTCTGGCCCGCAGCGCCTGCAGCAGCGGTGGCAGCCGGGTGAACCCCGGGTTGTCCAGAAGGAGGCCCCCGTCGTAGACTCCCGTCCTCGAAGGATGAGCGCACTCCATTGGATGTAGGACCACCAACCAGACGCTCAGGAAGGTTCGCCCCGGAGGGGCGCTCGCGGCAGGTGGGATCACCTGCTCGCGCGTCAGGCCGAGCAGCTCTGCCGGTCGGAGGTACAGCGCGAAGCAGACCGCCGTCGCCGCCGCCACTGTCGTCTCGCCTGCATTCAGCATCCAGCCGATCGTCAGGCAAGCAATCGGCCAGGGCAGCGGCACCCGAGCTCGTGGTGGTACCAGCCGGGCCCAGCCCGTCGCAGCCCGAGCGGCCCTCGAGAAGGCCACCTGCAGCCGACCGAGCGCCACGCGGCAATGAACCAGGGCCGCCATGTACTTCGACGTCTCCTCGCTCGGGTAACCGTCGTAGAACAGCTGGTTGAAGGAGGTCACCAGTGCGGCGTCCAGCTCGGGCACTTTCCCGCCCGGCAGTCGGACCGAGGTCGCCCACCCCGTGAACCTCGACACCCTGTCGGCAAAGTCCTGGCGGGTCGCCTCCCCCACGGCCTGCGTCCTCAGGAAGGTCAGCGGGCCCGAGGTCGCCGCCGTGATGGCGGCGGGGAAGGCGCGCCTCCTGGCAACTCGGCGGCCCGCCTGGTCCCCCCAGGACTGCGCAGGTGCGCTCTGGGAGCGGCCCCGGCGCTCGAAGTAGGCGGGCGCTGGGGCTGCTGGAGCTGCCGCGGGCCGCCTGCGAAGGGCGCCCGACGGGCTGGCAGCCGACGCTCCCCGGGGCGACGACTGCTGGAGCATACCACGCCTCGGGCCTAGCACCAGGCCGGTTCCGTGATCCTGGGTCGGCAGAGTTGAACTCGGACGGCAGCCACCTCCAGTACGCCGCCGAGCCTGAGGCCAGCAGCAAACATGCCACCTGCCGGCAGACGGCGAGGAGGGCGGGCGCCGACGATCGCCCCTTTGCCAGAGCCAAGATGGGAGCCATGGCATCATTCAGCATCACGTGGGCCTTCCGAAAGGACCTCTTGGAGCGAAGCTTGTGCTTGAGCGCCATCACGCCGGCCCTGGCCTCCAGGATGACCTGAGGAGCTGGGCGCCGCCAGGGCACCGAGAGGACCGGGTGCCAGTGGTCCCTCCAGATGTCGGGCGGGACCTCCTCGAAGCTAGGGTCCACGTCGGAGACTTCGGGCCTGTCTGGAACGGTTCCTGAGGAGCCTTGACCAGGGACAGCAGCGGCTCGGGGCCCAAGGCGTTGGCGCTCAGCTTCCCGAGAGAACCTCCAACGCTCGTTGTACCGGGCCAGACGCTTGACCGAGTCCTCAGAAGCCTCTCGCTGGGTAACTCCAAATCCCCAAGACGACGCATCCAGGCACGTAAGGGTGGTGTCGAAGGGCACCCCGAGGTCCCTGCTGCAGAAGATGAGGAGAGCCCGAGCCCAGCGCAGTTCACGACGGACGACGGGCCAGAGCTTAGCGGTGCGATTGTGGCACACCTCCCCGAACTTGTAGACGGCCCCCAGGCACGAGAGGAGCTCCCTCCTAATGAGCACCCTGGACGTGATGTGCGAAACGATCCTCACCATCTCCTTTCCAGAACAGAACCCACGTCGGAGGACTTCCTGAATCCCAAGGTACAACTTCCACCTAAGCCTAGGGTTGAGCGAGATCACGGGCGAGTCCGGGTCGAAGGACCAGCCAAGAGTCTCCCCGCCCACTCCGCTCTCCACCCCGTGGGTAGGCAATCCCACAGCACGCATATGATGATTGACCTGACGGGCAGCAGCAGTAGCAGAGGCCTCCGATAGCGACAGAGCAACGAAGTTGTCGACGTACTCGGTATGAACAACGCCTGAGTCGACGACAGGGGCAGGTAGGCGATCGACCAGGACACGCTCCGGTCTGACGAGGTCAGCACGCTGCGAGACAATCTCATTCACTGACTGACACAACCAAAGACTGAGACTGAATCCCATCGGAGGGCACCTGAAGCACGGATGGACCCACTGCGTAGGCGACACGGGTCTCCCATTCGCGTCGACCGAGATCCCCATCTCCCCAGCCCTGATCTTAGGGAGTCCGAAGTACCGCCGAAGCCAAGGTGGGAGCAGCATGGTATAGAAGGCATCCGCGATGTCCACACCAGCGACACACACCGGCTCCCGACTGTCAACTCGGAGTCGGGAGAACGCGGCCCCAGTTGCCAGCTTCACTTTGGGGGGCTCGTCGAACAACTGGGAGGGGATCCGACCATCCAGTATGAGCCTCAGGGCCCCTGACTTCTTATAGACGAAGAACATTCCCACTGAGCTCAGCGCATCGGTATGAAACTCAACGAGGTGCGATGACAAAAGACGGCGCAATACTTTCTTATATAACCGAGGGTTCCTCAAGTTGGGATCCGAATACGCCCTCTTCGGAGCGTGCTCAGCGACCCGGGCAAGCCCCCGCTCACGGGGCAAAAGTAGTTCTTGAAGGCGGTGACCAATACTCATGCTGTCATCCCCGATGAGCGCAGACAAGGACTTCGGTTCGGAGCCCACGCTCGGCAGGGAGATCAGATCGACGCGGTCGAAGGTCACCGGCGCAAACACGGCAGACTCCTGGTCGTATGACTGCGCGACGCGGAGCTCCTCAAGGGCTCCTGCGGGAGTGAGGTCGGACGGGGGCACTCCGAAGGCGTCGACGGCCTCCTGGATCACCGCCAGAGCCTCCTGCTGGGCGGTCGTAGGGCCGGTGAGGCCGGTGGGCCGCGGGCAGCTCGAACCAGTGTACATCTCATTCATGGCGCGGATGGCGTCGACGACCATCTCGCGGCGGTGACTGGTCCTGTGGAGTCGCCTCTTAGTTGTGCGAGAAAGGTCAGTGGCCACAAAACTGCGCTCACCTCCGGCGGGCACAGGGAGCGGAAAGAGATCCCGATGCCGCCGCGGACGAGCAGGGTGAGCCTCATGTACATCTGCAGCGCGGGAGGCGATATCCGCGAAGCCCCCTCGAGAGTCGCTGAAGGCGGTCGGGGAGTCCACCTCCAGGCCCCGCTCCATCATGGAGCCTGAGCGCGGCGCTCTTCCTTAGCATGCTTGATCAGCGTAAGGATCCCAGCGTCGCGCTCAACTTGCTTGGCCTCGTGCTCCAGTAGTGCCGGAGCCACCATCGCGCGGCCGTCCTCGTGGGCCACGCCCGTGAAGACCCCCACCTCGTACTCCATGGCGTACATGTACTTGTACAGCTGCGCCTGCCGCAGCATGAACCCGACGCCCACCCCCTTGGGCAAGTCGATGAGGTCCCACGTCATCAGGTAGTCGACCATCCGCACGATGGCCTCGTAGTGTGTCTCCCCGAAGTCGTCGTGATACAGCCGGTAGTAGGACACGATCTGGTGGAAGTGCTCGATGGCCCCTCTGCGCTTCCTGTCCAAGGAGCGGAGGCTCCACAGCGTGGTCCTCGGGCCGCCCAGCGGCCAGTCGGGAAGGGGCTCCTCGCAGAGCATGTCGACACCCTCGTGGAACTTCCCGCGCTGTCGCGAGCCGTCACTAAACAGTGGTACAGGCTGGAGGCGAGCGTCGGCGAGGGACTCGGCGCCGCGGTAGGCGGCCTGCGAGGTCATGATCACCCTGCTGGCCGACCAGCTCCCGCCAGCGTCCTGCATCAGGCCGATAGCCCCCCGGATGAGGTCGGTCCCGTTCATCGTGACAGGGTCCCAACGCCGGGCCGTCGTCGTGGCCTCAACGTAGACCCACTCCACGTCAGTCATAGGCAAGGCACTCGGCCCCACGGGTCCTGCGGGAGCTTCCGCAGCGGCGAGCGGAGCGGCTGCTGCCGCCATGGGGGTGGCCCCCGCGGGCGGCCCAGCCGCGGCCGCGGCGGGATCGGCCGGCACCACCGCCAGCGCGGCGGCCACAGCTGCCCCTCCCCCGGCGGCAGGGGCGGCGGGAGCGGGCCCAGGCGCGACCGCGCCACCAGCCGCGGCCGCGATCGTGAAGTAGACGACAGCGTCCGCCGGAGGCGCCACCCCGGGCCGTCCGGCCGCACGCTCCGCGACGAGGAACACGTCGCGGGCGCAGGCGTCCACCTCGAACCCGATGGCCACCTCCTCGGCCCCCGTCAGCGCGCGCCGGAAGCGGTAGAGGTTCCCGACCTCCAGGCCAGCCGGGCGGGTGCCCCTGTCGTCCTCGAAGCGAACCGCAGCCGAAGTCCCATTAGACAAGTCGTACAGCTCTTCGTACACGTCGCCATCCGGCGTGGTTATCAGCACCCGCAAGGGGAACCAGCGGGCATCAGTCGGATCCTGAATCACCCGCCGCACCACGTGGGAGCTGAAGACCAACAGGTTGATGGCGACCAGGAAGCAGGTCAGCCGCCCGCCTGTCCAGGAGAGGCTCTCAGGCTCCTGGGCGGTCGGCTGGGGCGCGGGCGCGGTGGTCGGCGCCCCTGGCGCCGCCGGACAGGCGGCCGGCGGGGGGAAGTGGATCGGCGCCGCCGAGGGGCAGGCTGGGCACGCCGGCGGCTGCGGGCAGGCGGGGCACGCCGGGCAGCGGGCTGACCAACTCACGACCGTCTGCGAGACGGTGCCGAAGAGCCAGTCCAGGTACCGCTGGCCAAAACGCCAGGCCATGGGAAGCGGGGGATGCGTCTCCCGGCGCGGCGGCGCCGGTGTCAGCTTGAGCCCAATCGGTAGCGGGCGTGCTGCGACGCGCGGCCCCCTGTCCTCAAGGCACTCTCAGAAAAGATTCACATGCACGCATTGCCATCCCTCGTTCTCTCCCCTGTCAACGGGCGGCACGGGCGGCGACGGGCGCCACCCACCCCGAGCTGGCAGAGAGAACTAGGAGCCCCTTAGCTGCAAACAGCTGTCTGGGGGACATGGACAACACACATAGATCATGGACAACACACACCTATACATTTATATATGTATATATATCTATATATATATATACATATCTATATACCGATAAACATACATATACATGTATATATGTATGTATGTATATGCTAAAACCGCGCGCGCCCGACGCGCGCGCGCTTGGGTTCTAGACGACTGCACACTCGTCGCCAATAAACTCTGCGCTGGTCCACGAAACCCGAGGTACCCGAGGAGAGGTTCCCCAGGCAAGGGCCGCCCTGGGCGCGCGGAGGTGCTGGGCCTTCGGGGGGGTACCTTCGGGTTCCGACGGCGGGCGCGGAGCCGCGCGACAATCACAGCACGCCTGGTATTAGATCGCGCTGTAGTCGTCGAGCACTCAGGCTGAAGACAGTGAGATCGCGTCCTTCCTTACGCACTGACGGCGAAGTTGGGGGAGCACATGCGGAACCGAAGTCACAAGAGCGAACAGAACAGAAGGATGGTGGACAGAGAAGGCGGGCGCAGGAGAGAAATGGTCGAGTGCGGGTTCGAAGGAAAAGCGATGATTGAAAGGGGCGGGGAGGGGAGATTGAAGGGGGGGAGAGCGGCGGACGGGGGCGTCTTGGGAGGTCCCCGGGTGCCTGGAAGCTCTCTTGGACGCTTCGGGAGCGATTCTCAACCGTCTCGCAGCCTCGGAGGGCGGCCCGGAGAGCGACCCAGGACGGGGGGGCACCGTCGCGCGAGGGGGGGGGGGGGCGCCCTGGGGCCCCGGGGCTGGGTTCTCCCATTTGAAGCTTTTAGCATCAGATTTTGAAGCTCCTCGGGGCCTCCTGGGGGCTCCCTCCAAGGAGGAGGAGGAGGACGAGGAGGAGGACGAGGAGGAGGAGGACGAGGAGGAGGAGGAGGACGAGGAGGAGGAGGAGGAGGACGAGGAGGAGGAGAACCTCCCCGGGGCTCTTTGGGGCCTCCTGGGGGCTTCCCTGGGGGGGGCGAGTCTGGGCCTCGTGTCGTGGACCCTCCTGGGCCGTCTGGAGCGCCCCTGGGGCAGCCTTGGAGCCTGCGTGGGCCTCTGGTTGCCGTTCTCCTCCGCGCGTCGCCGTTCTCCGCCTCCTCCTCCCCCTCCTCCTCCTCCGCCGCCTCCCCCTCCTCCTCCTCCTCCTCCTCCTCCCCCCCCTCCTCCTCCGCCTCCTCCTCCTCCGCCGCCTCCGCGTAAGGTTCCTAGTCGGACAGATGGCGACAGTCACGTTCCCGGAAAGCTCGCTGGGAACAGGATGAGGTGAGCCGTGCGGGGGCCCTTGGTTTGAGGGGTATCCGATTGTGGCCGCCCGGCCCGAAGGCCGGGCCATTGGACGCATTGGCAAAGGTCGAGATGGTGGTGAGGCTTGGCAGGGAGGCAGGGCAGACGCAAGGCTTCGACTGAACAACAAAAGGGCTGGAGAGGCCACGGCAAGGCGCTGCGCTGAATTGGGGGTGTTCGGTGGAACGGCGCGGACGGTCCTCCTCTTGTCGGCCTCCTTGCCAGAATGGCGGTGACAATCGATTGCAAAAAAAACGAAGGATTGCAAAAAAACGAAGGATTGCAAAAAAACGAAGGATTGCAAAAAAAAACAGGATTGCAAAAAAAAACCAGGATTGCAAACAAAAACATGTTTTTTGCAATCCTTCGAAGGTTTTTGCAATCAATCTTTTTTTTGCAATCTTGCAATCCTTCCTGGAAGGCTCTCCGGGAACATGATGGTGTGCGGCCGCATTGGGGTCCTCGTGGAGGTTGCTAGGGCACTGCAAAGGAAGGCTGCAAAGCCCGCAGACCAGCCAGAGTGAGTCATTCGGAGATGTTGTCACGGTAGTGCGGCTGCGAAGCGAAAGGGGGATGTCGAAGGAGGTCTCGCGGGGTTTTCTCGGGGGCCGTTGTTTGGCCTCGTGGGGCCGGTTTGGGAGCCTTCTGGGGCGTCGTGGGGGCCTCTTGTGGTCCTCTTGGAGCTCCGTGGCCGCACCTGGGAGCCTTGTTGGGGCCTCCTCGGAGACTCGTTCGGCGAAAGACTTGAAGTTTCGGTTCATGCCCCCCCTGTTGAGGCCATCTTGGGGCCGTCCTCCGGGCCTCGGAGGCCGCCTCGGGCGCCCCTGGGTCCGTGAAGGAGCTCTGTTAGGCCGTTTTGGGTCCTCCTGGGCGCCTCTGGGCTCGTCCTGAAGCGGTGTTGGAGGCCTCTTGGGCCGTCGTGGAGCGTCGGAAGCATGAGCAGCGGAGGAACCCAACAAAAACAGTTAAAACCCAGGCGAAACCAATGATGTTTGCTTCTCGGGGCACTGGTCTGGGGCCTCGAGTTCCCTCCGGGGCCGAGGCCGTCCTGGCGCCTTCTTGAGGCCTCAGAAGGGCTTCACGAGGCGGAGAAGTCGAAACTTCTGTTCATACCGTTCCTCGGGAGTTCATTTCGGAGCCGTCTTGAGAGCATCGTGGGCCGTCTTGGACGCCCCAGGGAGCGTCATGGGACCCGGCACGGCCATCCCGGGGCCTTCTCGGGGTCCGCAGGGCCCGTCCTGTGGCAGGGTCGGAGGGGTTGTGGGCCGTCGTGGAATGTCAGGATGGGACGAACGAGAGGGCACCGAAAATATCCAAAAACTCGTCCGAAAACGCTGGTTTTTGCTTCTCGGGGCACTCGGGCTGGAGCCTCGGACGCGCTCTGGAGCCTGCCCAGGGCCGTCCTGGTGCCTTCTGGAGGCCTCCAGGGAGCTCCCTGAAGCGAAAGATTCAAAATTTTGTTTCACGACCCCCCTTGGGAGGCCATCTTGGGGCTGTCTTGAGGGCGTCGTGCCGTCTTGTGCCCCTGGGGGCGTTGTGGAGCCCTGCTAGGCCGTCCCGAGGCCTTCCTGGGGGCCGCTGGGCGCATCCTGAGGCGGTGTTGGAGGCCTCGTGGGCCGTCGTGGAGTGTCAGGGTGTCGACAAAGAGAGGGCACCGAAAACATTTGGAAAACCCGACCGAAATCAATGATTTGTGCTTCTCGGGGCACTCGTCTTGGACCTCGAGCGCCCACTGAAGCTCGCACGGGGCCGTCCTGGCGCAGCCTGGAAGCCCTCTGAGGCCGCTCAGAGAGCATTTTCGGTGCTCCCGGGGTGCTAGACCCAGTCTGGCAGACTGTCGTGCTAATTTTGGGGCTCCCTGTGCGACCACAAGGCCACTTGGGCCCCCCCGAGCGGGCCCCTGGAGCCCCTGCCTGGTCATGTGTCTCCGTGGTCCTGGTTCTGGCCCCGCCCGAGGCCTAATCCGATATATGTGTACATATGTATATATGTTTACTACATTTATATATATATATAATAAGATATGCACATATAGTTAAATATATATATATATATATATATATATATATATATACATACATACATACATACATACATACAGACAGACCAACAGACAGACAGGCAGACAGGCAGGCATACATACATACACACACCTACACGTACAGTCACAGATACAACTACAAGTACAACTACAAATGCACATACAATTACAAATACACATACACATACAAAAGCAAATACGAATGCAAATGCAAACGAAAATGCAAAGTCACACGAATATGCCTATACACAACTATAAGTATGTACATCTGCATGTCCATATACATATACATGTGCATATACATCTGCACCTAGATCTACATATACACACATAAAAGTATGCGAACACAGATATCTGTATATACATATACATATACATATACGTATACGTATACATATGCATGTAATCACACGTAAGTACAACCATAAATATACACATACAAATATACATAAATCGGTATGTATATACATACATATATATATATATATGTATACACGTGCGCGTGCGCCTATACATGCACACGTACACACATAAAATCATGTACGTAAACATAGTCACACAAATGTGTGTACATGTGTACATATACAGACACGGGTATATATAACTGACACATATATATACATATATCTATGCATAATGGATATACATATACATATACGTATGCATATACATGCGCATGTGTACATACAGTTACTGATACATAGTCACAAACATACACGCGTAAGCATGCATACACATATACATATATATCTATATAGATATGCACGTGTGCATGTACACATGTATAAGCATTCACATATACATATGCAAATATATAGATGTATACAAACACGCAAGCATATACATATACATCTACACATACACATATGCATACGCACAAATATGCATACCCATACATATGCATTTACACTTACACCTATATATATATATATATATATATGTGAATGTATATGCAATGCATACGCATACATGTATATCCATACACAGATATCATTCCTGCCTGCATAAACTATCGAATGAAGGTAACGGAGTAGAGATTGCTCTCTCTATCTCTCTCGTTATCCCTCCCTCCGTCTTCTCTCTCTCTCTCTCTCTCTCACTATTTCCTCTCTCTCTCTCTCTCAACCTGCTCTCCCTCTCCCACCATGATGAGGTAGCCCTCAATCCTCCTTACGGCTCCCTTCCCTCTCCTCCTTCTCCTCCTCACACTCATCCCTGTCCTCCTCCTCCTCCTCTTCCTCCTCCTCCTCCTCCTCTTCCTCCTCATCCTCATCCTCATCCTCCTCTTCCTTCCTTATCATCCTCATCCTGATCCTCATAATCCTCCTCCTTCGTCCCCTCCTCCTCCTCCTCCTCCTCCTCATCATCATCACCATCATCATCATCACCACCATCATCCTCGCCATCATCATCATCATCATCATCACCATCACCATCATTATCAGCATCATCGTCATCATCATCATGAGCAGCAGCTGCATCCTCATGATCCTCATCCTCATGATCCTCCTCCTCCTCCTCCTCCTCCGTCTCATCCACATTATCCTCCTCCTCCTCCTCCTCCTCCACCGCCTCCGCCTCCGCCTCCGCATCCGCCTCCACCTCCGCCTCCGCCTCCTCCTCCTCGTCCTCCTCCTCCTATTCCTCCTCCTCTTCATCATCCGCATCCTCATCCTCATCTTCATCCTCATCCTCATCTTCATCCTCATGATCCTCCTCCTCCGTCTCCTTCTCCTCCTCCTCCTCCTCCTCTTCCTCCTCCTCCTCCTCATCAAGCCTCTCTAACGCGCCCTTCTGAGCTGGGCGTTGACTAACAGGTACCGATGCAACTGCTCTCTGGACCTGACCTCTCTTAGAGTGCGTTCTGACCAGAATTTCGAGGAGAATCCAGACGTGGCGACGAGGGCGTCACAGGAGGCCCAAAAAGGCCAAAACAAAGTTAGGGTAGCGGCGCGGTAGCGGTACCTTTTCCTCATCTGGCCCTCAGCAGTCGTCTTGGGCGCCCCCCACCCCCCCGCAAGGCTCGTCACCGAGGTTGCAGCCGTACGCCTTGATCCGCTGCGCGGTGGCCTCGTGCCTGCGAAGCACCTGCAGGAGGTCGCCGAAGTCCTCGGCGCGGGACGCGCCGCGGGGGGACGCCGCGGGAGCGGAGAAAACTGGCTGGGTTATGTAGTGCCCACCCTCACGTCCCTGAGATCTGGGCGTTGCAAGGTTCGAGGCTCGAGGTTCGAGATTTTCAGTCGTTTTCGTAGGGTCTCGGCGGTTTTCAAACCTCGGGATGCTTTCCAGCAGCTGCGCCTCGCCGCGAGCGCTCCAGGATGCCCAGGTCGTCCCGAGCGCCCACCGGAGCGCCCAGGCATGACCCGAAAACCTCGGGGGCGTTGAGCCGACCCGGAGACCTGAGATCCGGGTATCACCGTCACACCAGGCGAGTTCGCCCGGCTTCGGCAAGAGAGCCCAGAATCGAATCGACAAGTCGGATCGGCGATCGAAATGGGTCGGATCGGAGGAAATCGGCAGCCAAGTCGGAGAAGTCGAATCGGCAGAAATCGGCAGGCTGGTAGGCCTCCATGAAGGACTCGGAGTCCAAATCGACATCCGAAGTCGGATCGGATCGGAATCGGAGGCCATCGAGATCGAATCGAATCGCAGGAATCGAAACGAGCTCTGGCTTCGGGCCCCCGGACCCTCATGGCATGCTGTCGAGCAGCCGCGGGCGCGGCCCAGCACCAGCTGCGACGGCGCAGAGAAACAACACGGACGGTCCAAAGAAGCAGAAAGAGCCGCCGGTGCGGATCGCCCGCGGGGCCGGCGCGCGGCACCGTGCCCTGCTCCTCCTCCTCCTCCTTCTCCTCCTCCTCCTCCTCCTCCTCCTCC